CTTTGGCACAGGACACATCTGCCATCCTAAGCTATGTAGGAGGCTGAGAACAGGAAAAATGTGGTTCTGGGCCAGCCCTGGCAGAAACTTCCACGAGACTCCATCTCCACAGCTACACTGGAAGCCTAAAGTTGGTGGATCACTGCCCAAACACTCTCCTAGGCAGAATCAAGACCGTGACCTAAAAATTACCAGCAAAAAGCAGTTGAAAAGCCGGGCGCTGGTGGCTCACGCCTGTCATCCTAGCTACTCAGGAGGCTGAGATCTGAGGATCGCGGTTCAAAGCCAGCCCAGGCAGGAAAGACCGTGAGACTCCTATCTCCAATAAACCACTAGAAAACCGGAAGTGGCGCTGTAGCTCAAGTGATAGGGCGCTCGCCTTGAGCTGAAGAGCTGAGGGACAGCGCCCAGGCCCAGAGTTCAAGCCCCACGGCCGACCAAAAAAAAGAGCAGTTGAAATCTCCAGAGCAACGCCAGACACCCTGAATGAAGGGCAGCAGGCAACGACCTGAGAGCTCAGAGCTCTCCAGCCGGCCGAAACCACCCCACCCTGCTCTCCTCTCCCTTCCCCTCTCCTCCCCACCTCGGGTGGGAAGCTGGGCATGGCAGAGGAGAGAGGGGAGGCCAGGGGTCAGAGCAAGGGAAACCTTCAATCTTCCCTGCAAGCAAGGAGGCCCTGGAAGGGCTGATAACTATGGAGGGGTGGGTAGACTCATTTCTAAATGGAGACTGCGTTTGTGATGGGAAGAGACTCTAAGATTACCCCTAGCAAAGATGAGCAGGAACGTTTAGAAACCTGTGTAATGAGTTGAAATGTTTGCCCCTCAGAAAGGCATGTGCAGTTTACTTCAGAGTAGGTCTTTATTTGGAAATAGAGGAATTGTGCATGTAATTAAGATGGTTTTAGGATAGTGAAGTTTATAATTATACGTACGTGTGTGTGTGTGTGCGCGCATGCGCGCTCCAGTTCTGAAACTTGAACTCAGGACCTTGGCACTGTCTTTGAGCTTTTGTGCTCAAGGCTAGCGCTCTACCTCTTGAGCCACAGCTCCACTTCCCCTTTTCAGTGATCATTAGGAGATATGAGTTAATGGGCTTTCCTGCCCTGGCTGGCTTTGAACTGTGATCCTCAGATCTAGTAGCTAGGATTTCAGGCGTTAGCCACTGGCACCAGCTTATATGTATATTCTTAATCACAATTTCTAAAGGAAAAATATAGAAATATATTTATCCCCATGGAACTAATATACTTCTATAATCAAAATAGCCTGGGAGGGGAACACAAAGAGGACACAGAAAGGGAGGAAGAGTGAACCAATGCATTCATGCAATTCAGTATACACTATGTGGAGGGAAACTGGAGGAAAGCAAAGGAAGGGGTGACATTGTGCAAAATAAATGTATCCATTACCTGACATAAAATGCTAACCCCTTTGTACAACACCTTAATAGGAATAAAATTATATTTTTAAAAAGTCGGGCAGGGAGAGTGGCTCAGAAGTAGAGCATTCATCTTGCATTCATGATGCCCTGGGTTAGAGTCCTAGCCCAGGAGAAAGAAAATGACAGCAAGGACAGCAATAACATCTTGTAGTTTCTAAAGGGCTGGCAGAATTTCACAACACTCAGGGAATCTGATAACAGGAAGTAGGGCCTAACCCAAATGAAGGAAAAGGAATTGTCATAGCCCCTGGTCTTGCATTCCACACTGTTTATATAAAAATATTCTGCCTTCTTCCATGTTTTGACTTTGGGTATCCTCTTCCAGGCCCACAGGAAACCCTCAGGGTTGACATCTTTGTTCTTTGTTGCTAAGAAGCCACAGAAAAATCAGCATATGAAAAAGATTTTGTTTTTAATTAAAGACAGCAAAGCCAGAAATTGAATATTTTACTTACTTTCCACTTAGCCTCTGAGACAGAGGTTCACTCCTCAAAAGTCTGTACTTTTTCTGTATTTGTAAACCAGGGACCTAGTGAAGTTCCTGAAAATGTCTCCACTCACCCCCCAACCAACTACTTTGTCTATCATAAAGATCTGCCACAGACTCAAAGTTTAAGAAATAATTATAAGCTGAGAACCAGTGGCTCATGCCTACTATAATCCTAGCTACTCAGGAGGCTAAAATCTGTGAACTGCAGTTCAAAGCTAGCCCAGGCAAGTCTATGAGACTTATCCACAATTAACCACCAAAAAAACAGAAGTGGAGGTATGGCTCAAATGGTAGAACACCAGCCTTAAGCACAAAAACTGAGGAACAATATGCAGACCCTGAGTTCAAGCCCTAGCACCAACCGGCACCTCCCCCCCCATTCAGTTTAGGATGACAAATTTCTAGAAATAGTGGGATAATTGCATGACTTTATGCTACTGAACTGTACATTTGAAAATGGTTAAAATGCTAGATTTTTATTATATATATTTTATCACCATAAAAAGTAATATAGGGGGGCTGGGAAGGTGGCTCAGTGGTAGAGTGCTTGCCTTGCATGCATGAGGCCTTGAGTTCGATTCCTCAGCACCACACAAGCAAAAAAAAAAAAAGTAATATAGGGGCTGGGAAGGTGGCTCAGTGGTAGAGCGCTTGCCTTGCATGTTTAAGGCCCTAGGTTCGATTCCTCAGCACCACATAAGAAAAAAGAAAAAAGCTGGAAGTGGCGCTGTGGCTCAAGTGGTAGAGCGCTAGCCTTGAGCTGAAGAGCTGAAGGACAGCGCCCAGGCCCAGAGTTCAGGCCCCACAACCAGACCCAAAAATAAATAAATAAAAAGTAATATAGACATCATGGTAGCCTAGACAAAAATCCTCCTATTTAAGCTAACTGCCATAATTGGGATTAAGGAGTATACCACCATGCCTAGCTTTTGCAGTTGAAATGCAATCTCAAGAAATCTTTGCCTAGGTTGACCTTGAACCTCAATCTTATCTCCTTATCTCAGCCTTCCAAGAAGCTACAGAACCAGTGACTATGCTTTTTTAAAGCTCCACAAAATCCTTAGTAATCTCTGCACCTGGAAGTTATTTCTGTTTTATTTTAGTCCTTCTATATAACTCATATCCTATATTTATATTTTTTGTCCTTTCAATTTCATTTGTACTTTCCCATCAAAACTGTATAAATGCATTTGTATTGGTATTCTCATCTAATTGTAGACATATTTTCAAAACATTGTAATAAAGTATTCTGTGAGTTTTCATTCTCATTTCAAAAGATACCATTAATACAGACCTTGAAGAGTTACTAGGCCTTGGGTTGGGAAGGTGGCCAATGGTAGAGTGCTTGCCTTGCATGCATCAGGTCATGGGTTCGATTCTTCAGCACCACATAAGCAGAAAAAGCCGGAAGTGGCTGTGGCTCAAGTGGTAGAGTGCTAGCCTTGAGCTGAAGAGCTGAGGGACCGTGCCCAGGCCCAGAATTCAGACCCCACAACTGACAAGAAAGAAAGAAAAAGAAAGAAGGAAAGGAAGAAACAAAGAATTACTAGGCCAACAGGGAAACTTTTTTTGGTGGTACTGGGGCTTCAACTCTCAGCCTTGCATTCTACCACTTAAGCCATGCCCCTAGCCCTAAACATTTTTTGATTGTTATTAAAAAGGTGATGTACAGAAGGGTTACAGTTACATAGATCAGGTAATGAGTACATTTCTTTTTGGACAATGCCACCCCTCCCTCACTCCTAGTTTTTCAGCTTCCTAAGTCTTTTCAATTAGGTATAAAGTTAACAGTTCCTCCCTCTTTGGTGATCGATCGCCGCCTTTTAATTGGGATTAACTTTTGCCAAAGTCTCAGAGAAAAGAAAAAGGGAGAAACATTTTAATCCTTGGAGTTCTTTGATTAAAAAAAAAGTCATTAAGTTATGCACAGTAAATTCCATGTGTCTCAGGCCTATCATCCTAGCTACTCAGGAAGCTGAGATCTGAGGATCACAGTTGGAAGCCAGCCCAGCAGAAAAGTGTGTGATAGTCTTATCTCCAATTAACCAGCAAAAAGATGGAAGTGAAGGTGTGTTTCAAGTGGTAGAGTATCAACCTTGAGCCTAAAAAGCCAAGTGAAAGCACAAGGCCCTGAGTTCAAGCCCAGTGCACTCACATGCCACACACACACACTCACACACACACACACACACACACACACAGAGTTAGTTCCAGTTAGAACCGGCAGTGGCTCACGCCTGTCATCCTAGCTACTCAGGAGGCTGAGATGTGAGGACCATGGTTCAAAGCCAGCCTGGGCAGCAAAGTCCGTGACTCTTATCTCCATGAGCCAGCCAAAAGACAAGAGTAAAGCTGTGATTCAAGTGGTAGAGCGCTAGCTCAGGGACAGCGCCCAGGCTCTGAGTTCAAGCCCCGGGACTGGCAGAACACGAAGCTCACAGTTCCAGTTCTCACTGGCAGGCGCTGCCCACGGTGGGGAGGCCCGGGAGGCCGGGGGTGCGGGCATCCCGCCGCCCGCCAGCCCCGTCCAGCCTCCCCGCCCGGGGGTGCCTCAGGAGCCGCCCCCAGACCGGCCACCGCCCGGGGGGTGGAGAGGCTCCAGGCACCGAGCGCCATCGGAACCCCGGGCTGGCCGGGGCCGCGGAGGGGACCGTCGGGGGCTCCTCCCGTCCCGTCCGGTCCGGGCGAGGAGGCCCCGGGCGGACGCGCCCCGAGGACCTCGGCCTACTCCCTCCCCTCCAGGCTTCCGGTCCCTCCCCGAGCTTCCTCGTTCCCTGGGGTCCCCTCCGCACCCGATCCCTCCGTACCCCCCCTCCCCGCACACCCGCCCTGACCCCGCCCCGACCCCACTCCTCCACCCTCGCCGGGCCCGCCCTGCCCTTCCTAGCGCCTTCCCCGTCCCCACCCCGTCCCCGGCTTCCTCGCCCCCCTCCCGCGCCCTTCCCCGTGCCCCCCCCCCCAGCTTCCCGCCCCGCCCCCGGCTCTAAACCTGGCGGCGGCGGGGAGGGGAGCGCGGGCGCGGGCGGCACCGCTGGCACCGCTGGAGCGCGCGGGCTCCGCGGGCACCATGGGGCCCGAGGCGGCTGCCGGAGCCCGGGAGGCGCGGGGACGCCCCTGCCACTGCCCCGCCGACGGCCCCCGCGGGTCCCCGCCGCCGCACCGGCCGGAGAGGTGAGGCCGTCCGCGGAGGAGGGGAGGGGAGGGGAGGGGGACGCGCACCGAGCTGGCGCGGGAAGCGGGATGCTGGGGTACCGTCCCCCCCCCCCCCCCCCGCCACGAGGGCCACGGCCAGACAGACAGACCGACAGACAGACGGGTCCCGAAGGGCAGAGAGGCCGGTGGGGTACCTGGCAAGGAAACCGCCAAGGAAGACGCGCGGGCCTCGGCTGCAGGAGGTGACAGTTACCTCTGCCCTTTGTTCGGGAAGTAGAGGATAAGGACATTGACTGGGGGGGGGGGGGGGGGCTCGGGAAGGGCGGGACGGCCCGCAGGCCTCCATCTCCCCGCAGAATTCGGTAGTCAGACCCTTCAGCGAGCGAGGTGACCCGGGCCCCAAACCAGCAGCGAAGTCCCCGGGCGCAGTAGAAAACCCCGCCTGAGAATTCAGCCCCGAGTGGGTGATGCTCTGATCTGCCACCCGGGTACCCAAGTTGGGACTTTCTCTTCAAAGTCTGAGGACAGAGAATCGTGGTAGAACCTGGCTCTGGTCCATCAGCCACAGGCAGAGGTCAGGAGGGAGCAGGCCGGGTGCTCCCAGACAGACACCAGGCTGGAGAATGATGCACTGAGAGCCCTAGAAAGGCTGCAGAAATACCCAGAGCTGACCCTGTCCTGGACTTTGCCCTCCAGTTCCAGCCCCGCTCCTTGGAGACCCTGGATGCTGACACCCACAGATGCGGAGCTGGCCAGAACCAGGAGTCGGGTAAGGTGAAGTCTTGGGGCTAATACTTAAACCAGGCAAACCAGCAAGTGGCACCATCTCTAAACGAAAGGGGCAGTGAAAGCCTCCTCCCTCTGTCCTTGGCTTGGTCACCTAACCCAGAAGTGTATCCAGGTCTGGGAGGTAGAACTCACACAGTGAGTGAGCCAGAGTCTCATCGCTGGGCCATGGTCATTGTAGGGGAATTGCTTCAAGTTGGGTTTTCTTGATAACCAGCAGATGGAGAGGGGAGGGGGATGTCTGTCTCCTTAGAGGAAAGCTGAGTGCACCATTAGCAGCCGACTGGTGCCACCGTGCAAATAAGGACAGAGCCTCCTCTGAAGTGCCCAGAAGTGCAGTTAAAAGTCCCCACCTGCCACTGGGCCCTTTCTGAAGTACTTTTGACCCTGTCAGCAAGCACTCCTGGGATAACTGATGTTGTCTGAGCAAATACACTCAAGCTGAGGGCTTTTGTGGGCAAAGATGAATTGCCATTTTGATTCTTTTGCTACCCTGCATTGGAAAGTTAATTGCTTTTATACTTATTGAAGTCATGTCTTACTTGCATTTGGTATGGTTTTAAATACAGACTGGTGAAGCGCACACACATACACACACAGATGCACACATGCACATGCACCAGTACTGGGCTTGAACTCAAGGCCTGAGCACTGTCCCTCAGCTCTACTTCTGGCTTTATATTTGGTGGTTAATAGGATACACATCTCATGGACTTTCCCGCTCAGACTGCTTCAAACTGTGACCCTCAGATCTCAGCCTCTTGAGTAGCCACTCATGAGCCACCAGTGCTGGGCCTTAAATTAATGACTTACTGAAGTTATTCTGGATAGGAAGCATGGTGTATTTATGTAACACATGTTGTGTATGGACTAGTCTGCAGTTGTTTGTAATTATGGTGAGAAAACTGGGGTGGGGGAAAGTAGATATCCACTATATTTTACATTTAGACTACTTTACCCAACTAATCTAAATATTGTGTGTTTTAATTCAGCTGCTATTATTTACTTTTTTAATGTATATGCCAGTACTGAGGTTTGAACTCAGAGCCTGGGCACTATCTCACTCTCTTAGCTTTTTTGCTCAAGGCTGGCACTCTACTACTTGAGCTACAACTCAACATCTAAGTAACAGAAAACAATTCCTTCTTTTGCATTCAAATTTAAATTCCATGGGTGTTTAGAGCTCTGTCCCATCCACCTGCTGTCAGCTCTTTCCAGAGCTCAGCTAGTCAGCTCAGCCAGTACAGCTCAATTCCCAGTACCTAGAAAAACTAATTGCTCAATGGCGCCCTCTCCTGACAAAGCTGGAGAATTCCGAGGCTCCACAAATTCCATTGAGAATGGAGGTGACTTGTACCAGGACTTGGGGCAAGCAGATCAAAATTACAACCAGCTCTAAATCTGAGGACCAAAGGCCTTTTAGCCTGAGTAAGGCTGTTTCTCACTTGGTACCCCTACTCCTGGGGATGAATCTGCAGGCTTTAGGCCAGAAGCCTATCTGCTGGAATCTACAGTTTGCACCCTAAGAAAACACATCCCTTAAACATAGTGACCAATTTGTATACATTTCTATTCTGTTTAAGCACCAAAATGGGACCAATGAGACACTTTCCTCAGTGAGAAAAGGACACTAAAGACCTTTTGGGCCAGGCAGTAGCTCTCATCTGTAATCCTAGCAACTCAGGAGGCTGAGATTTGAGGATTGTGATTTCAAGCCAGCTTAGTCAAGAAAGTCTGTGAGACTTATCTCCAATTAACCACCTAAAAGCTGAAAGTGGCCTTGAGCAAATGAGTTAAAGGATTGTAGCCAGGTCCTAAGCTCAAGGCCCAATACCAGCACACACACAAAAATCAAGAGGGTACTTTGAGCAGATCTCTAACTGATACTATTTGTATGCACTTCACTGCAGGAACCTGGGGGTGAGCCACAAACTTTGGCATCAAAGGGAGCCTTTGGATTTCAGCATCCTGTAAGGTAATATGTAATTTCCCAAGAAGAAGTATGTATTTCCTTTCGATATAACTGTACTCAACTTATACATTTTCAACTGGGTGAAAAATAATTACATTCTCCCATACTATATATATATGTATGTATATATATATGTATATGTATGTGTGTATTTTTTTTGTGCTTGAACTCAGGCTCAGCCCCTGTGCTTTCACTTGGCTTTTTCAAGCCATGCTGGTACTCTACCAGTTGAGCCACAGCTCCGCTCCTGGCATTTTGCTGGTCAATTAGAAATAAGAGCCTCATAGACTTTCTTGCCCAGGCTGACTTTGAACCACAATCCTAAGATCTCAGCCTCCTGAATAGCTAGGGTTACAGGTGTTGAGCCACTAGAGCCTGGCTCCAGTGTCTTAAACACATAGCTCAGTAGATTGGGGGAAAACGGGGAAATGAGCTGGGAAGAGGAACTCCTAGGGAACAGGCAACTCTAGTAGGAGTTCTGGCCAGTACTCAGGTTGATTGATGATGTTGTCTGTTTGTTTTAAATATCAGACTTTACTTACCCATTTCAAAGCGTCAAGAATACCTGCAGAGCTCTGGCGAAAGAGTGCTGGCCAGCTTCCCAGTGCAAGCCACCATCCACTTCTACAACGATGAGTCTGAATCTGAGTCAGATTCAGATGAGGATCTGCCAGGGAAGGAAACCCAGCCTTTGGATCATCAGTGCCAGGAGGTGGACAATCTCCAGGAAAACAGCTCAGGGGCAGAGAGCAGAGCGGGCAGATGAACCCAGCGGGAGAGAGGGGCAGCCAGCTCCCCCCCCCACACACACACACAGTGGCTCTACAGAGGATATTCCTTTCCCAGACAGTGGGGCCTCTCTCTGCTAGGCCAGCCCATGTGGGGCTTGGTCTGTGGCTGCACCCCTACCAGACTTCCTCGCTTGGGTGGGCTAGCTATGGCAAGAACTCAGCTTTTACTTTTTCTTCTCTCGTGGTTCTTTTTAGTGCACTCATGCGTACCTCTGAGAAAGGTGCTGGACAAAGAGGTTTGTGTCAACACAGGCCTTTAGCAGGAGGGGCGACTTGCAAACCTCCTTGAGCTGAGTCCTTCTGCTGATCAGGTGACAAAAGATTCCTCTAGACATTCGTTACCCACTTTGCCTCTCCCTGGACTGAGATGCAGGACTTAGATACTCTGGCTTTTGTTAAAGTAATTTACAAGGGCTGATTTTTTTAGGAGGTTTTATATGTAGCTCTTAAAATTATATATATATATATATATATATATATATATATATATATATATATATTCAAATGGGATTAAGTACACCAAACTAGAATTTAAACTCAGGGCCTTGTACTTGCTCAGATGATAATCTACCATTTGAGCCATACCCCCAGCCTTGCTGTTTGTTTTGTGTGTGTGTGTGTGGCTGAACTCAGGGCCTGGGCACTAACCCAAAGCATTTTTTGCTCAAGTCCGCAGCTTTACTACTTCTATTTCCAGCATTTTGGTAGGTGATTGGACATAAAAGTTTCATGAACTTGCCTACCCAGATTTTGAACAACAGTCTTCAGATCTCAGCCTCCTGAGTAGCTAGGATTACAGGGGTGAGCCTCCAGTGCCTAGCTTTGATGATTATTTCGGAGATGGAGTCTTGAGGACTTTTCTACCTAAGCTGGCATCAAACCTCAATCCTCCAGACTTTAGCCTCTTGGGTAACTAGGATTTCAGGTGTAAACCACTAGCACTGGTGCTTAGTAGCATTATGAGTTTTTTTACTTAGGAAAAAATTACAAGGCTGAATAATTTACATAAGAGTAATGATATTATTTTGAGGAATAACTCTGTGTAGGAATGTTTGTGGCACTTGTCCAGCTGTGTGTGAGAGTTGTGTGGGTCACAGAGGTAACTCTGGGCTTGTTAACGGAATGGAATGACACAGTTGTCAGTTACAGTGTTTGATATAAAACTGGCTTTTACATTTTGATAATAAAACAAGAGTATACATTAAGTTTTTGATTTATCTTGCCCGTAGTTGTCTTCTTGCCTGTAATCTGTTATGTGAATTTTTACTTGGAATAAACATTTTCTACGAAAGAATGTTTGATAACTGTCTTTTTATGTTAAAAGACACTCAAGTTCAATGACTTCCTCTTTTAATTTTTTTCAGGAGTAGTTTTTTTTTTTTTTCTGTTGTGGGACTTGAACTCTGGGCCTGGGCACTGTCTCTGAGCTCTTCAGCTCAAGGCTAGCACCCTACCACTTGAGCCACAGCGTGCCAATTCTGGTTTTCTGGTGGCTACTTGAGATGAGAGTCTCTTGGACTTTCCTTCCCCAGGCTGGCTTTGAGCTGCGATCCTTAGATCTCAGCCTTCTGAGTAGCTAGGATTACAGGTGTGAGCCACTAAAGCCCGGCTTTTCATTTTTATACTTAGTTCTTTTCTTTTTTTTTTTTTTTGTCAGTTGTGGGGCTTGAACTCTAGGTCTGGGCACTGTCCCTCAATTCTTCAGCTCAAGGCTAGCACTCTACCACTTGAGCCACAGCACCACGTCCGGTTTTCTAGTAGTTTATTTATTTATTTATTTATTTATTTCTGCTTATGTGGTGCTGAGGAATCGAACCCAGGGCCTCATGCATGCAAGGCAAGCACTCTACCACTGAGCCACCTTCCCAGCCCTCTAGTAGTTTATTGAAGGTAAGAGTCTCACAGACTTTCTTACCTGGGCTGGCTCTGAACTGCGAGCCTCAGATCTCACGCTCCTGACTAGCTAGGATTACAGGCATGAGCCACCAGAGCCCAGCTTTATAATTATTTATTACACACACACACACATTCTTAAACATACATATTTTCTTAAAGATATGTTTTTTTCTTTTTGTTGATTTTTTTTCTTTGTCAGGCATTGGGCACCAGGCTATTTTCTTAAACATATATATATGTCAAATGGGATTATATCAAACTAAAAAGTTTCTGCACAACAAAGGACATAGTTACTAAAATAGAAATTCAGCCAACAGACTGGGGGAAAATCTTCACCAGCAATGCATCTGACAAAGGCTTGATAGCCAAAATACATAAGGAGCTCAAAAAATGAACACCCCACCCCAAACTAATAAACCAATCCATTAATGGGCAAAGGAGCTGAGGAGAGACTTCTCAGAAGAAGAATGTCAAAGAGACACATGAGGAAATGCTCAATATCCATGGCCATTAAGGAAATGCAAATCAAAACATCTGTGAGATTCCATCTCACCCCAGTTAGACTGGCCAACATCATCTTCAATTCAAACAATAAGAAATGCTGGTGGGGATGGGGGAAAGGAACCCTTCATCGCACCGTTGGTGGGAATATAAACTAGTACAACTCTGAAGGCAGTTTGGAGGTTCTTCAAGAAACGAAAACTAAACATAGATCTTCCCTATGATCCAGCCATACAACTTTTAGGCATCTTCCCAGATCATTGCCAAGTGAGGATACCACAAAGACACTTGCACATCCATGTTCACGGCTGCACTATTCACAATAGCCAAGCTATGGGAACAGCCCAGATGCCCTACAACAGATGAGGAGATCAGTAATGTGACATATATACACAGTGGAATTTTATTCATCCATTAGAATTTTATTCATCCCTGCCATCTGCAGGGAAACGGATGGCCCGTGAACACGTCAGGCTAAGGGAGGTAAGCCATGCTCAAAGAGACAAACGGCACTTGTTTTCTCTCATATGTGGAAGCTAAAGTACACCAGGATATGTAAATATACAGGACTCTAGGCATGCACACACAGTCAGACTAAAGGAGAATACCCTTAGGGGAGAAACCCAAAGGTGTAACTTCTCTGAACATTTAAAATACTACTTATTGAAATGAACTCTAGGGAATGAAAACAGGTTATTTGTTGTTATTGTTGGTGGTGGTGGTGCTGGTGGTGTTTTTCTTTTAGGGGGTATAAAGGAGGGTTCGGAAAGAGGAAGGGGGAGGAAATGCAATCAGGCTATTGAGTATATACTACAAAAAATGACCTATGTAACTAACTTGCGGCCAGGGATGAGAGAGGCAAATGAGGAAAGCAAAGGAAGGAGCGACATTTTCCAAAAGCAGAAATGTACTCGTTGCCTGACTATGACATGGCAAGCCCTCTGTCCAATACCTTGATGAAAAGAAAATTATTTAAGTATATGCGTATGCATATATATGTTTATATACATGTATATATACACATATGCTACATGTATGTATATAAGTGTGTAATACATATACACACATGTATATAGGTATAGATAGATAGATACTAGTTAATTGGAGAGAAGAATCTTGTCTGCCTGGGGTGGCCTCAAACTGTAATCCTCAGATCACAGCCTTCAGAGTAGTTAGGGTTGTCTGATGATGCTGAAATAAGTTCAAAATGTGCTATCTCCACCCTCTTCTCCAAAATCTTTTAAAATGCAATCAAAGCAATCATTCCACTAATGGTTATACTTAGCCAGGTTTCACATTATTACACCACACACACACACACACACACACACACACACACACACACACACACACACACACACATATGAGTCTTTTCCCATGAGACTTCTGGATCACAAAGCACTTTGATGTTTGTGGAATGCCTTCAATTCAAGAAACGAAAACTAAACATAGATCTTCCCTATGATCCAGCCATACATGGCCAAGTAGCCACATCACTCTGCATTCCCACTAACAAGGTATTGTGAAGAAGACTTGAAGTGCAACTTGATTGGATTGAGAAGTGCCTAGGAGACTAATATTGTGTGTGTGTGTGTGTGTGTGAGAGACAGAGAGAGAGAGAGAGAAAGAGTACACACACACATGCCCCTATGCATAAGAGAGTTTCCAAAGAAAATTAAGGGAGGGCTGGGAAGGTGGCTCAGTGGTAGAGTGCTTGCCTTGCATGCATGAGGCCCTGAGTTCGATTCCTCAGCACCACATAAGCAAAAAGAAAAAAGCCAGAAGTGGCGCTGTGGCTCAAGTGGTAGAGCGCTAGCCTTGAGCTGAAGAGCTGAGGGACAGCGCCCAGGCCCAGAGTTCAGGCCCCAAGACCAGACCTACCCCCCCCCAAAAAAAAAGAAAATTAAGGGAAAAGACCTGATGATCTGGGCAGCAACACCCCACAAACAGGGTCTCATGTGGACTATAAAAAGCAAAAGGCAAAAGCTAACTAGTCCTTTCCCCTTCCTTCTTCATCTTCTTCTTCACCTTCCCCTTGTTCCTCTCCCTCCCTTCCTCCTTCCCTCCCTCTCTCTGTCACACACACACACACACACACACACACACACACACACACACACACACACACACACACACACACACACACACACACACACACCCCACAGAGCCTTTGGCTGAATAACAAGTTCCCAGAGCGTTTTGTTGTTTGGGCTAAGCAGTCGATTTTCATCACTATTTTTCTCTTGTGATAATAAAATTGAGAAAAACACTGAAGGAAATTACTACTCCCCAGCAAAGTCTGAGTCATGTCCTGGTGACTCAATTCTTCTAAAACTTCCAGAGAATGATCGATCAATGCATACATAGAATCCTTTATGATAATGATTGTGGAATTGATGGACAGTAAAATGCTGACAATAATTTGACACACTTAGAAGAGAACTTCTGGGCAAATATAAACTATATAAGTGTTTTAATATTCTATGATATCAAACTGAAATCATCACAAGAAGATTTTATCATTTCAAATATTTCACAAGGACACTCAACATCATTACAGAAATGCAAACTAAAAGCCAGATGCTGGTGGCTCACACCTGTAATCCTAGCTATTTAGGAGGCTGAGACCTGAGGCTGGTGGTTTAAAGCCAGCCCAGGGAGGAAGTCCATGAGAATATTATCTCCAATTAACCACCAAAAAGCTGG